ATGACATAATACTTATCAATTTGGCTCGTAGATATCGTCTTTGGTTTGATCTTATTGGAATGTGTTTGACCTTGCTTTGGCCTATATCTAGACGTGATGGGTTTATGTGGATCAGCGACGCCAAAAACTTTTAGATGAACTGAGCTCAGAGACGCTCCGCCTGAGCCGGCTGTTCACGTGGTTTAAGCACTTTACTGTTTAAGAAATCTTCGATTTAGCTAGGCTTATCTGAAAAATGATAAAAACGCAAAAAAATATGTATTTTTGTTTTGTATTAACCCTTTCAGTACAATCGTACAATATATTGGACAACTTTTTTTTTGTACTTAACGCTCTTTTTTCTTAAATAAGAGCTTTTGTTTTTAAAATAACAGTTGTTTCGAGAAAAGTAAATTATTCCTATTTACCGCATTTCATTTACTATATTTTCGGGATGTAGTTGACGGTGTTTTTACACAAGAGTGAAAAGTGCCACAAAAATCGATATTGAGTAGTGTAATAAATTAACTATTTTCCGAAATAGGTGTTAAATGTTATTCTATGTTTTGAAATATATTACTCAAAAGAAAAAAGAAAAATTATTGATATCACATTCCTGTTTACAAATCTAGAGTATCACTGTCCAATATAATGAACGCTGCATAATGGTAAAACTAAGAGTTTTATAAAATTTTTGCTTGTATTTTTGAAATCAATGACCCAAAATTAGCCGGTAAACAAATTTTCAGATGTTTAGCTTAAACGGCTGATTTAGGCTGAGGGAGTTAAATATTGCGGCAAATAAAATGAGCGCCTCGCCCGGGCGTTTGAGTGGCTAAATTTTTTATGAAGGTATATTTTTATATTAATTATAATCGCATAACGGGTAATGGTTAAAGCTTAAACGTATCGAAAAATATTCAAAATTTAAATGTGAAATCGACTTTGCCATGTCTCTCTATTCGTCCGTTCGTCTGAGCACGAGCACAAAGTAACTAGAATAAAAATTTAGATACTAAGGACGGATGGTATTGCAAATGGACAAAATCGGATAATAACCATGGCTACCTCTCATATAACAATTATTTACAGAAATAGGCAAACTTCGCAATACGTAACTATTGAATATAAATCACCCAAAATAGAGATTGCTTTGTTTAGCATAGTATTTTGCTCTCGTATCACATGAGAAATAAGTTTTAATCCATTTATTTCTCTTTCTGTTAAATTCTCATATATTACCATGCAAATTTGTACTCTGTTCGCGTAGTTAAGCAACAAAGCAATTTGGCATCGTTTCCCAAAAGTGAGATATAATCGTACATATGTATGTATGCATGTACAAGATTTCCAGCGAGAAAGGGCTGTCACTGTCAAAATACCATATGATTCAATAAACCACTATATGGACCACCCTTTATGTACTTTTTACGATGTGTTAAAATTGGCAGTTCATAGAACTTTAGATAACTGAAACCACTATCCTACCCTCTAAATACATATTTAGCAACAATTATGGTGTATACAACTTTGAAAATACTGCCGCATTTTTTTTTTTTTTATTGCTACGCAGTAATCATCGGAAGAAACAATCAGTGTGTAAACAAAAGAAGAAATCATCGAAATAATCAAAAGAAATTCGACAAGCTTCTTAAGATTGTGTATTAGGCTGGGCCGAAAATCTGCTTTTTTAGAATTTTGATTGGTAATAGCAAAAATATGGTTTATTATGCTCTAAAAACAATCTGTTTAAAAGATGACAATTTTTGGTCAATATCTTATGTACCAACCAAGTTCAACAAAGTTCAATGTGCTCAAAAAATAAAAATTAATAAATTCATTAATTAATAGTTTTTTTTACTAAAATTGAAAGTATCTTCGAAAGTATTAGTCCTACATAATTGGATATATAGACCTTTTTTGTAGAGAATCGAAGAAAGCAAAAAAAAAATTTAATATTTTACGTCTTAAAATATAATGAATTTTGTAATCCCAACTTTTTTTGGTGATGCTGTCTAATGTACATACATATGAATACACATATAAAATAAATAAATATTTGTCGTTTACACATTTGCAGAGCTTCTCCTCTGAATTGTGGCGCGCGGCATTATATTGTCATCCAAAGGGGAGGTACCTACAGTTTTAGGCCGCCTCCGAACGTCGAATGGATTTTGTGAGAAACTTTTGCATGAAAAAAAAATACAGACGCATGGGGAATCATAATAAGGTGTGATCAGTAGATTCACCTAATATTTTCAGCTTTTCTATTGTGGTCCCGTATTTAAGAGTAGTATACGTTTGCCATTGCCTGCCGAGGGGCAACCGCTAAACAATTTTTTTTTTTTAGAAATTGCTTGGATCAGGAATCGATGCCTAGACCTACTGAGTGGCAGTGCGACTCCCACTCATACCTCTAACTTCAAAATATATATATGCAGCTCATTAACTTGTATTTTATCGTCCCTAATAAGAAACACGCAAATTCGTACCTAAAGTCATATTCGAAGCAAGTTAAGTATAATTTTCATTTCATATTGACGAGTATTCTGGTTTTCGTAAAAATCGAAAATTTGAAATTTTTTAATACAAAATGATAGGAAGATTTCATCGATTCGTACGAAAACAAGAATACGCCTCATTATTTCTGTGAAATAAGCGTAAAATGTTCTATTTCCACAAAAAAGTTATAATACTCTGTTCACGTAGTTAAAAAGTTGGATTATATTTGCAATCCGAGTTTAGTATCGTTTTCCAAAATTGGCACATGTGTGTGTGTTTTGTTTTTTAATATGCTAAAGCTAACTGTTCAAAGAACTTTAGATAAGTGAAACCATTTTCCCATCCACTATTAACAACAATAGGTGTGTATACAAGCTTTGATAATACTTTAGCATTTTTTTTTATTGCTACGCACTAATCATCAGCAGAAACAGCCGGTTTGTAAACAAAATAAAAAAGCATCAGAATAGTCAAAAGAAATTGGATAAGTCTTCTTAACATTTTGTATGTTGCTAGACAATAAATATTTTGCTAATGTCTAGTGAGGTAATTTATGTTTGCATATTAGGGTGGCCCAAATATACACAGGGAAATAAACATTTTGGAATATGTCCGATTCGGACCACCCTAATGTATATTAGATTGTGTCAAATAAAACTTTGTCGTTTCTTTATCCCTTGTCCCTTTATCTTAAGTTAGCGAAAACAATTTTTTTAGTGAACAATTAAGTACAACTAATGAAAAACAACAATTTTAGTACAATAAGTGCAAGTTTGAAGTAGCAGGGATTTAGCGCTGATGTTTGGAAATTTTTCTTCCAAGCAAAGTGTGTTCGACAAATTGTTCATACGGAAAAAAATAAAGGAAAACCTAAAAAAAAAAAATGGCAAAAATCAACGATAAGTCCTGGCTACTTGAAACTTGCACTGATTATACTACTAAAATTTAATCGGCTACGGAATGTTTTTTTATTTGTTATATTTAATTGTTGATTAAAAAAAGAAATAGGTCAGCTTTTTTTTTGTTAAAAATTCGTATTTTTGCAAGCCCTACTAATTTAAATAGCAGTTTTGTTTTTGAATTAAGTTAGAAAATATGTCAAAAGGCACCTGATAATTATACCTTGTACCGGGTTATTTTCAACCCGGACGATAAATTAGGCATTCTTAACTATTATTTTCATAAAACCAATTCGAGAAAGGGTTCACTCTTCTTGCTAATCCATTTCCTTATTCAACCTATTACTATCAGGAGTAGCTGTTTCGCCGCTATTTAAACTTAAAGAAGTATTAATTTAATCAATCTATGCCGGCCTTTTAAATCTGAAGTAAATTCCTCAAGGAGGAAAACATTCGCTCGGGACTTGCTAATTGAATTCTACCCCTATCTCACTCTTAACCCTTTCGAACCGGAAAGCAACTAACAGGCAAATCTCGGTTTTAGTGATCTCCATATCGTCCCGCTTCTGCCTTAACACGTATCTAAAAATGTCCACGAACACTAAGCGGGATACATTTATTCCAACAAATAAACCTATGCTATACCAGGCCAGAAGCATGAATGCGTAAATTTATCAGTTTTCAGCTATTGCCTTGACTTGATTAACCTTTGGATGTTCTAGTATGTTATACCAAAACCCAAAATAGACCGCGTACACGAAAATAACATATTTTTCAATTTCAAGTCCCGTAAAAAAATTTTAAACTTGATTTCCCAAAATTTTAATTTTCTCACATTCATGTTTTTGGCATACGGGCGACGATATATCTCATAAAAAGTAGTGTCACTTTCAGAAGAGGACTAAACGGCTTGAGTATAAATTTTCTGCACAAAAACCATTTCCAACCGTTACCTGCACCTCAATATAACAGACGGGATATATTTAGGCAAATTCCAATGCGAAGTTTCTATTTTAGTTATAACCAAACTTCTGCCGGAGCGTATGTATCCCAATAGGAACGAAAGGGTTAAGACTTCTGCAGAAATCATTAAGCGGGACCTGAAGCTAACGGGTGATTTTTTTGAGGTTAGGATTTTCATGCATTAGTAT